GCACGATTTGAACGCAGATCTATAAGATCTTCTTTTAGCTCTCCATCAAGTGATGGACGCTTCTCGCACCCCCTGGAATGATGTCTTGCACCCCCAGGGGGTGCGAGCACCCCAGGTTGGGAACCCCTGCTCTAGAGGGTCAGAAGATGATCATTGTCAAAATCGACTGAGATAAGTTTTTCACATCAGTGTCACAAGTTGTTGATGTCACTTCCAAAGCATTACCATGTTATAAGATCTTAACATCAATCTCTGCAATTTCAGAAGATGATGACGTCAGTGTCCGAAGCCTTGATATTGTCACTATTTAAAATCTGCCTTTTACGTCAAATAATTGATTCAGCAAGGGTGTTAAATGTCGTTTTGTGTAACAATAATATTATTTCTCGAGTAGCTTGACAGAGGCTAACAGATTGTCTGTCAAAAGCATTACTACTTTTACGTTCATGGAGAAGCACTAAACTCTTAGGGGGTCCTATAGTGCCTGGGGAATAGGAGGTAATCAACTTTCATCAGGGGATTCAAGTTGCCTCAAAGTCTTCAGCTTAAAAGCATCAGATCAAGACCTCTTCACCAGCATCAAAACATCTCTTTGAAAGGCTTCCGCTGATGGAAGCGTCATGGTGTCAGGAGTATGCTAAACGAGGAGCTGTGAAGCAGGACGAAGAAGACTCGTTTATCTTTGTTATCATGTGAGGACGACGTCTATTGTAGTAACTTGTAACTACTCGCTACTGGAGAGAGCCAAGCTGCAGGAGCTTGTAGCTACCCGTATAGCAAGAGGCCAGCTGTAGTAGCCTGTGCTACTAGCTTCGTGTTAGAAGCAACCTGTAGTAGCATGTAGCTACGTGCTTCTGGGAACGGGTCAGCTGTCATAGCCTACCATCGCTGAGCCGGGAAGAATGAATCCACTCCTGTACGCAGACCTAGGTAAGTACAACTAGGTAGGTATACTGTATATGAGAAAGTGTATCATATCAGATAATATTATCTGCGTCTCTTCAAGTATCTTCCAGTAAGAGCTGACAGATATTACACTGCTAAAAAACAGTTACCTGGGGAATATACAGTATATACATTAGGGAACCTGAATTTGCATGTGATATCATTCAATATGCACAATTAACTCACACATCAACACACACACACACACCACACACACACCACACACACACACACACACACACACACACATAAGCAGTCAAGAGTGAGACCCGAAACCTCGAACTGTAGTACAATATATATATATATTATATTATATATATATTATATATATATGTCGTCGAATAATACTTATACTATTTTAATAGCAACTACATATTCATATAGACAATAAAAATTTGTATTAATAATTTGCCAAAAGTCATCCGAATAAGGCAAAATGATTTGCTAATGAATCGTCATTATTGTATGAACAAACTAATAATTTGTTTTAGCAATAATTAAATACATTGAACTAAAGAATAAGTTTTCACTGTGTTTGTTTAGTATTATTTTGAAAAATTATTAAATTTTTAATTGAGCATTAAGGAAAAAAAATATCTTGTTATATAAGGAAAATTTAAGTTAAGATTTTTTTAAATATTCTTTTAATAACCATTTTACAATCGGCAACATATTATTATAAACTATAATATATAATTTATATAAAATAATTTTAATATTCTTTATAATTTTACATATTCGGCACGCAATAGCAGATATATAGATATTGGTTAAATAGAACGTATATATATATTAAATATAAAATATATAGTATCAATAATTTGCAAATATTATGAACCTAACGAAAAGAGATCACTGTGTTGTTAGATAGATGATTGAGAGAGAAATGCTAAATATATTCATTGGGTTGGCTAAATAAATTGCTCTTGTTATCCTAATGTAGGTAAGTTCAGCACTTTAGCCAAAAATAAATTTTTCTTCAAACTAATGAAAATCCACTTAAACGACATAAGTAAAAATTTCAGAAAGGACTTATTTTAAATCGTAGTTCTTCCTAATGTACCAGTTTCCCTTGGATAACATATATAATATACGAGATAGTATATATATAATATATATTATATTATATATATATATATATAGATATATATATATATATATATAGAGAGAGAGAGAGAGAGAGAGAGAGAGAGAGAGAGAGAGAGCATTGCTGCATATGTTGACGATTAAGCTCGCTCTATATCCTACTTGCTAGACCGCCACGCAGCACAGCCACTCAGAAATCGATTTCTTCGTCCACCGAAACTAGACCAAGTTCCAGCTTAAACTGCCATCTCTCTCTCTAGTATTTCTACGAGTGAATGACCCAGTAACGCTTATGCCTATTTCAACGTTATATCCGCCCCTGTGATAACGTATGGAAGTGAAGAGAGCCGAGGACTGGACCGCTTCTAAGAACTATGCTTTGGTTTGATCTAGTTTTGTCTAGCCCACAGCCAATCTACCACTGTCACACTTTTTATGGTGATATCGAGGACATTTTTACGAGGTTCTTGATAAACTCTTGAGCGGGTTAAGATATGATGAAGATCCAAATCTAGTTATTTTCTTTAACGAATAAACGACTGTAATCATGATGAATGTTAGGTAAATGAACATCATGCAACTAATGTGACGTTTTACTGTGGCAACGTTTCGCTCTCCAGGAAAGTAGCCACAATATAATGTCACATTAGTTGCCTCTGTCCATTTACCTAACCTTCTGTCGGTAATTCTACCATTATCATCTTATAATGAACATATTTGTACCTAATTTGCAAATATGTCCATAAACGTAATACTTGACAGCGTGTTGAATTGTCCGATGGCCAGATATAATTGTTCAATTTTCTTTTTTTACTTATAATCCACCACCATTAAAAACTAAACAATAGCCGTATTAATATGGTAGCACTTCAATAATTTTGATTTACATGTATTTGTTGACAACAGACCTCAGCTTAAAATTATTTGTGAAACCCTGTTCTTAGTTGTTAATTTCTTCTTGTAACTTTAAAGTCATGTCCAAGCGAGAGTAGTAGTAGTAGTAGTAATGCTACTACTGCTAGTAGTAGTAGAAGTAGTGGTAGCAATAGTAGCAGTAGTAGTAGCAGTAACAGAAGTAGTAAAAGTAGCAGTAGTAGTCGCAGTAGTAGCAATATCAGTAGTAATAGCAGTAGTTGTATAACATTAGTAATAGCAGTAGTTGTAGTAGTAGTAGCAGTAGTTGTAGTAGTAGTAGCAGTAGTTGTAGTAGTAGTAGCAGTAGTTGTAGTAGTAGTAGCAGTAGTTGTAGTAGTAGCAGTAGTTGTAGTAGTAGTAGCAGTAGTTGTAGTAGTAGTAGCAGTAGTTGTAGCAGTAGTAGCAGTAGTTGCAGTAGTAGTAGCAGTAGTTGTAGTAGTAGTAGTAGCAGTAGTTGTAGTAGTAGTAGCAGTAGTTGTAGTAGTAGTAGCAGTAGTTGTAGCAGT